AAAAAACAAATACTAGTGTTATCTTTCAAAAAATTATACACCTAGCCCCATCAAATTTTTTATTTAGCCCCGTCTAATTTGGGCTGTATAAACTCAAATGAAGGTCATAGACAAGTAAAGAACAATATTTCGAGCAGCTCCTTCTAATCAATGGCGGAGGTTTCCGATTCACGCGTGAGCTTGGGCTTATGAGATAATAACTACATGTTCAAGTTTGAAATAACATTTCTACCCTCAATTAAATAGACAGTTTCTTGGGCCATCCCATATTTTTAATTTTTTTTAATTTATTCTTTCTTGAGATGGTACATTGAGTTGATAGTTTGGCCCACTAGATCAAATAAAATGGATTGTCATGTAATTATTTTTTGGGCCTCTTCCAACGCATTGAATTATACATTCTTTAATTGATTCTCTCCATTTTTGCCTCCATTAATTATTTTGATCCCACTTTTTTTATAAAATTTAAACACAAATAAAACAAGTCGTCATCGCTTAATAAAATTAGAAACAAACAAAATATATATAACTATGGAGAAATAGACACAAAAATTTTTGTAAAGTTCATGTAAAAATGACACATGTCATCGAATCATTTAATAAACTTTACAACGTAGACAGAAACCCAAAACTCTTGCTGAGTTGATCGCTAACACTCTCGACTTAACTTGTTTAATAGACAAACTCAATTAGTTGTTTGATCTGAGTTCGTGCAACTATACAAGCTAGTCGAGCTTGAGGTTTTACATGTTAAACAAAACTATATAACGGGACAACTCGATTCAAATAATATCAGTAATTTTGTAGCCTCGAGTGAAAAAAATTCTGGCTACGCCCCTGACCACCTTCGTCCACCTTTGTAAAAGTATGAAAATAGTTTTCTCCATAAACTATTTATCATAAATCTAGTTCAATCAAGTCCGAAACGTGAGTACAGGCTCGACAAAAAATAGAGATCCAACAAGAGTGTGATTTATCCAATTCCGCACAATATGCAGCGATCACATTTTCCACGCGCCTCATTCGTCGCCCAAGCACTCATCCGCCGCCGAATGCGAAGGTGCCCTGGGATATTTTGCTGTAGTAAGTTAAACTATTAAATCTAGAC